AGGAGGAGGCCGAGGCGCGGGAGGCGGCGCGTCGGCGGGCTGCCTCGGAGGCGGCGAGGGCGCGAGAGGCGGAGCGAGAGAGGGCCGAGGTGGAGGCTGCGGCTAGAGCGGGAGGCCTCGTCACGCAACGATCTCGGAGATCTCTCTGCGAGCCTTCTCGCAGGTGGCGGAGGCGCTCGAGCGGGAGGCGCGGGCGGCGGCCGCTGCAGCGGCGGCGGACAGGGCGAGGGAGGCTGCCGCTCGGCCAGCGAGGGCGGTCGAGGCGGCGAGGCGGCGGTTGAGGCGGGAAGGAGAGCTCGCGGCGGCGACGAGGAGCAGGGCCGCGCCGGCGACGAGGCGAAAGCGCGGGCGGCGGCGCTGCTCGAGGCGCGAGAGTCGGGCGAGGCGTGTCCGGCGTGTCTGTAGGGGCGCGCAGCGACGAGTTGTGCCGCAGTTCGCGTCAGGAGGAGAGCAGCAACCGCCGGTCCCTGAGCCGGCCGCGCAGGTCACGCAGGCCCCGCCGCCGCCGCCGCCGCTACCGCCGCCGCCGCCGCCGCCGCCGGTGGCTGCGAGGTGCGCCGCGCCCGCGCCCGCGCCCGCGCCGGGCAAGCCCATTCTGCCCGTCCGAGTCGCGCGCATTCGCGAGGCGCTCGCCCTAGCGCCGGGCCAGAACTTGGTCGCGACGAGCCGAGAGGCGGCAACCACGCTCGGATTGGACGCGGGCGGGGCGCTGCTGCCGCTGGTGAACCGGGTGGAGGCGCGTCTGGCGGAGCTGGGCCTGTGTTCTTGATATTTTTTGCGTGGATAGACGTGACGTTGGGCCTGATTGTGATTCGCGCGTGTGTCGTGTGTGTCAGAGTGAGAGGAAAATCGACGAGCCGTCACGTCTACACGGCTTTAAAAAACCTTTATGCATATGTGTGTGTGTACCTTACCTTACACCCAAAACAAAACCCGGAGATACACTGTGACACAAACACACACATGAAAATTCACGCTTCACGGCGCTCCGCGAGAGCACGTTCAAGTCGCAACTCTCGCTGGCAGCAGCACGGCGCGAGCGGCGGTGCGGTGCGGCGGCGGCGGCGTGGCGGCGTAAAGCAGCACTGACGCCACGACGAGGGCCGCGCCGAGGAGGAGGAGCGCGTTTGGCGGCGGGCCGAGCTCGAGCAGCGGCGCGAGCAGGCCTGTGAGGAGGATGGCGCCGGCGGTGGCGAATCCCTTCCAGATGTTGTCGGCGTACTTGATGACGACGGCGACCAGGAGGCCCCCGAACCTAATCACCACATCAGCGTATCATGCTGCCCAAAATGACCACGACCAGGCCAGGCGGCCTCCGAACCCGTTGACTGCGATGAGCGCCCAGGTGGACCTGTTAGTGGGCGATGGGCCAGTCGAGCCCTGCGAGAGATCTCGGAGATCTCGGGCAATCAGGGCCTCTCGCCTCTCGAACCCGCGTAGCGGGTCGGAGAGAGGGGTCGAGGGCGACGACTGCAGCAGCGCGAGCAGGCCGTTCATCGGCACTGTCCACGTGGAGAGCTCGATGTTCCGCCTCAGGGGGGGGGGGGGGGCTGAAAACGGTGGGGGGAGAGACCACAGACCATAGGGAAAAGGTGGAAGGTGGGGGTGGGGGTGGGGGTGGGGGTGAGAGGGTGAGAGGGTGAGGGGGTGAGAGGGTGAGAGGGAGAGGGTAGAGGGAGAGGGCACAGGCGCCTCCACAGCGAGTTCTCGGCGCGCCCGCCGTCAGCATCCCGTGGCCGGTCCTGGAGTAGAAGAGCAGTCTCATCACGGCAACACAATGCGAGTCTGTCACAGTCTCTGCCGCGGCCGGTTCCTTGAGTATCCGCTCGAAGTAGACCGACGCGAACGCGGAGGAGGAGGCGGCAACCTGAGCCCCGCGGCACGAGGGCGCTCTCTCTCTCTCTCTCTCTCTCTCTCTCTCTCTCTCTCTCTCTCTCTCTCTCTCTCTCTCTCTCTCTCTCTCTCTCTCTCTCTCTCTCTCTCTCTCTCTCTCTCTCTCTCTCTCTCTCTCTCCGCACCAGGACGGCCGCCAGCCCGGTGAGGATCTCCCCATATCTCCCCATATCTCCCCATATCTCCCCATATCTCCGCACCAGCACGGCCGCCAGCCCGATCTCCCCATGTCTCCCATATCTCCGCACCAGCACGGCCGCCAGCCCGATCTCCCCATGTCCCATATCTCCGCACCAGCACGGCCGCCAGCCCGATCTCCCCATATCTCCCCATGTCTCCCATATCTCCGCACCAGCACGGCCGCCAGCCCGAGCGGAGCACTGCGCGCCTCGTGCGCGCCCTCGTCGTGCGGCTGCCCCTCCGACACCTGCGCCGCAGAGAGCAGGGCGTGCTTCGGCTGCGAGACGGCGGCGAGCGGCCAGCGCCACTCTGCGGGTGCATATGTGTATGCGTGCTGTGGGACAGAGCTTCCCCCGGCCACACACCTGCGTCAGCACGACTCCGGCAGCGAGGAGGACCTGCGAGAGCCACTGCTGCCGCGAGAATGACTTGCGGAGCAGGAGGGCCGACAGCGCGGCCGTGAGCAGCGTCTTGAGCTGGTAGCTGATCTGGAAGACCAGCGGGTGGAGGTTGGAGAGGGCGACGTAGAGCACGTTGTTCTGCAGAGTGAAGCACGCCGCCGGCAAGGCTATGCGGGCCAGCGCGGCGGGCGAGGAGCGGAGCGAGTGCAACGCCGCGCCGAGCGAGCGGCTCTGCGCTCCGGTGACGCCCACACAGAAGAGGAGCTTGAAGAGCTCCTGCAGCACGACGACCACAGCTACGTTGTACTGCGCCGCCTGGGATTGCTGCTGCTTGCGCGAATGCCGCATCACCAGCACAAAGGCCGAGTTCTGGACTAGCATGAGCGAGAGCGCCGTCCATCGCACGCACTGGTGGTTGGGCATCGATAGACTGCGTGGCGCTCGTGTGGCCGTTAACAGCGTGGCGGCGGAGCGGCCAGAATGTTTGCGCGCGCATTTTCTTTTTTCTCGCAAGCGCAACGTTTTTCTCAAGGTCATGCGGAGCGTGTGGGGCATGCTCGTCGAGGTGGAGCCGCGGGACCACCTCGGCTACTCTAACGTCTCGGTGGCGGGCGCCGGCCGCTCGTGCTCACGCCTCGTCGGCGACGTCAAGTTCAAGGACACGCTCTCCTCCAGCCCGGAGGACGTCGGCCAGCGAGGCGCTTTCGTCGGCCTCGGCAACACCGAGCCCGGCACGAGCGCGGACGTCTTCGGCCTCGAGCAGCGCGGCGCTGTCGGGGACGGCGACTTCAGGCCGAGCGACGGCGGCGGCTATGTGGCGTACAAGAAGGCGGACTACGCGCACGCCCTCTCGCGCTCGGACACCGACGTGCAGATGTACCTGTTCGAAACCTTCGGCGGGTGGTGCAACGCGGTCAAGCGGCTGTTCTACCAGATGAAGGACAAGGTGCGCAACAAGCTCTCGAAGCGGCAGCACGAGGACGAGGCGAGCTGGTCGACGCGGTCGTGGCTGTCGCTGCAGGCCCAGCGCATGTCAGTCGCGCTGCAGCTCGCGGCGGCGGAAGAGATTGCGACCGAGCTCAGGCTCGCCGCGGCGTCGGAGGACGCCGCCGTCGCCTAGACTCCCCTTGCGTCACTACGTCTGCACTACGTGCCTCCCCGTCTTTGTAGCCTGGCGTTTGTGCCCCGTTTGTGCCGCGTCCCGTGCCGCCGAGTTCATTTCATAAATTGTCCGTCCTGTCCGTCCTTTCGCCCCTGGATTCGGTACTTCAGCTTGGTATAGTATCATCGTATTGCAGATCATACCCCAGGGCTATACCCTGATACCCTCTTGAGAGGACCCGCATTGGGCCCCTAGAGGATAGGCTGATACCCTGGTGGGTATGTATGTATGTAGAAAGATGAACAACAGTCAGGCTCGGACTGGACACCAACGCGGTATGGGTGGACGCGAGACAGATGATGATGACACGCACGAGCGACACAAAGACACAAACAGGCTCACAAGACACACAACCAGCTGGCTGCCACACACCCTGAGTTGGCGTACACATAACTCAGGGCCACATTCTCCCTATCGCCCCCCCCAGCACTCCCAGGTGCCAAGAGAAACAAACAAGGGCACAACGGTGGGTTACCCTTCACACCGGACACGACCCCCCTCTTCACACCTCTTCGCGCGCTGCGCGCGCGCCAAGACAGACAAACGCGCTCGAGTGAGCGTCGCGCAGGAGGGAGGCGAGCGCACCACTAAGCAATGCGCTGGGTGAGGAGGGCGCTAATGGCGGCCGTCGTCGCGTTTGACGGGCCCGCGGCCGCAGCCGGTGCGGCTGCAGCCGCGCGAGGTGTGAATTGTCGCTTCGCTGCGCGGCTGCCGATGATACCTTGATACCCAGCCGAGATAAGTCCCCACAGAGGCCTAGAGCATACCTTGATACCCCCTCGAGAACAATTCGATGATACTATACCAAGCTGAAGTACCGAATCCTGCGGGAAACGTTCAGCTCTCCCATTCGTGTCCCCGCCCGCCGGTCTCAACTCGATTCATCTAGCGCGGACCCTCCGCTCTCCCCGCTCGGCACCGCAGCACCATGGCAAGCACCCCGCAGAAGGGACGCGCGTACTTCGTGAGCAGCCCTGCAGACCTGCGCTTGCTCTCGCGGAGAGAGCTGCAGGAGGTCGCCAAGCGGAGGGGCGTGCGGGCAAACGCAAAGTCGAGCGAGATCATCTCGGCGCTGGAGTCGCTCCGTCACGCCGACAGAGCCGCGCCGGAGCCCGACCCGGCACCAGCACCGCCAGAGGCTGCCGCGCCGGTGGAGGCAGCGGACGTCGGTCTCGATCTGGTGGAGGCCCCCATACTGCACCGCCGTCCCAGGCACTCCTGAATCGCCCCACGCACCTCTGTCCACACAGGGCGAAATGGCGGAGACGCCGGGCGGCAACCAGACGCCGGGCAAGGCGTCCAAGAAGCTCAAGGACTCCAAGTTCGGCGAGACGATCTTCGAGGAGGTGCGCTCCCGCTACACGGCCGCCCTCTCTCACCTTCCTGACCCCGCGTTGGTGGAAGGCGGGCGAGTGGGAGGCGGGCGAGAAGGAGGGGCGCGGCGTCATGCGATTCGCCGACGGCGACGTCTACGAGGGCGAGTACAAGGCGGGTGAGAGGGAGGGGCACGGCGTCTACCGGTACGCCAACGGCACCGTCTACGAGGGCGAGTGGAAGGCGGATGAGAAGGAGGGGCCCGGCGTCTTCCGGTACGCCAACGGCGAAGTGGTGTCGGTCTTCTACAAGCAGAATGCACCCGTCGGCGAGGCTGTCATGTGGAAGGCGGACGGGCGGCGGGCGTGGCGGCTGCGTGCCACGCGCTGCGGCGCGCATAATCCGGTGGAGATGATCTCGCTGGAGGAGGCGCGGCAGACCGCCGAGCGGCTCAGGCTCCCCCTCCCCTCCCCGCTGCCCGGCGCGGCGTGAGAGGCAGCACTCTTAGCGAGAGCACCCGTGGAGCACATGTTCTCTGTGCGAGAACCGAGCCGCGACCTATCTCTTTCAACCTGGATTAGCTCGGCGAGGTCGCAGCCACTCGCATCAAGGCGTGGAGGTGTGGCAACAGGCAACTAAAAGGCCTGAGTCGGAGGGAAAATTTGCAAACAATTTGCATGCTGCATGCACATGTCTTTTAAGAACCCTGCACAAAGACCGCACTCCGCAGGGGGCGGGGACCTGACACCTGTTCCTTTTTACCCATCTCCTAGTAGAGGTGTCCGTTTTATTTATTTATTTACATGTCTTTTACGTTTTAGATCCCGGAAAGGAGGGCGCGCAGCGTGCCCAGGTCGCCCACGGCCAGCTCTGTACATGGCTCATGGGGCGCGCCATTCCCAAAAAGAATTTTCCTTTCGCGCGTGATGTGAAAAAAGAATTCCTGCGGGCGATCGGCGCCTTGCTACGGCTGACGGCTGGCGGCTGGCGGCTGCGGCGAACGGCGACGGCTCGGTTCGCGTTCGCCCCCGCGACGGTGCGACTGAGCCTGCCGCGCTCGATCTGGGAGCCACTCTCGGCGCCAGTTCGAGCGGCGGTCGGCCACTGCGGGTGCGACGCATGATAGAGCATGCTGGGCGCCGCATCGTGTACTACCGACCCACGCCAAGGCGCGGGGGGGTGGTGCTCGCCGGCGCTCGCGGTGCTTCGGTGCTCGAGCGCGCTCAACATTGTGGTCGTTCATGGCGGCTCGCACAGCGCCCGCAGGCACACACACACACACACACACACACACACACACGCGCGCGCGCGCGCGCGCGCGCACACACACACACACACACACACACACACACACACACACACACACACACACACACACACACACACACACACACACACACACACACACACACACAGACACACAGCCCCTTCAGGGCGAGGACACGCGCAGGGGCCGCACCTCTAGCGAAGCCCACAGAGGGGGAGACTCCTATCACCGCCCTGCCACCCACGTGAGCCTTTTGGCCGCCTCTGTAGTGTGCCCGTGGTAGTGAGAGGCTGCTGGTGAGAAGCCGGAGGAAGGTCGCTAGTCGAGAGAGATCGCCAGTGGAATAGGGAGTCCAGCAGTCCACCGTGCTGCGAGCCTGGGTCGCTGTCCCTTGTCAGGAGCAGGAGAACTAGGAGAGCGCAACCAGTAGGAGGCCCGCGCCTGCCCCCGTGCCGCCGGGTGCAACCTGTCCTATACGAGAGAGGAATCCCTGGGACCCTGTCGTGTGGGTGAACCCTGCCCAGCCCCCCTCCGTGTCGCGATGCGCTCCCCGCTCCCGTTCCCCTGTGTCCCTGATCGTCCTTACAAGATCCTGCTCGTGCAGGTGGGGACCCTGTCCTTCTCCCACCCCTCGTTTGGCGTGCCCGTTTTATTTATTTTATAGACTTGCAGGGGGGCGTGCCGTCCTCCCATCCCTCCCTTGTGCTGCGGGTTTGACTGCGTGGCGCTCGTGTGGCCGTTAACAGCGTGGCGGCGGAGCGGCCAGAACGTTTTGCCTCCCCGTTTTCTTTTTTCTCGCAATGTCTGATCCCATGTTTTTCTTTTTTTCTCGCGAAGACCCCCTCTGGCCATCATACACGTGTGTACATGCTGCTTCGCCACCAAGCTCGTCGGCTCCTCTCCTCCACCGCGCGGATCGTTGACGACGTGCTTCCAATGACGATTGCTGACCGCGTCGAGGCGGAGGCAGTGCGCCGCGGCACGCTCGCAAAGCTCTCCGGGAGAGGCAAGCCCTTGAAGGAAGAGCGTGAAAGTCAGGCGCACATTGGTGGTATGCCGAAGAATATGGAGGCGCGCGCAGAGGCAGAGATGCGCAGGGCGGAGCGCTCGGGAATGCTGAAGAACCTCGGCGGCGAGGGCGCTCCTTTGGAGCAGCGGCACGTGGTTGGTGCCGTCTCGCAGCAGCGTGCGATCCAGAACCACATGCAGAAGGAGACGCTCCGCTGAGCGGGGCACGGCCGGTTGCGCACGCCAGCGCCGTGGAGGGTGGGAGTGTGCGGCGACAGTGGAGTTGTGAACTGCTCAGCCGGAGACGAGCGGAGAGGCGGCCGGCGCCAACGCTTAGGGTTGCGCGCGGGCCGGACGAAGAGAGGGCGCGCTGAGACGTGGTGAAGGTTAATCTCAGTGCACAAAAAAGTCGCCCTCTTTGCGCGGAGACCCGCCGGGCTTCCGCGCGCTAGAGAGACACGCTGACACGTGACAGTGTCACGTGTCAGTCACTGACCGGACCGTTTTGAACCGAGAACCCGAGAGATTGCGTACGGAGCGGCGGGATCGGCTTCGCTCCCCCACTGGGACTAAGGTAGCCTAGGTTGGCACGCGGCACGCGGCGGCCTGCCTGCACGCAGAAGGAGAGGGAGAGGGCGAGGGCGAGGGCGAGGGCGGCGGAGGGTGGAGGAGGCGCACATGCTCCACTCGCATCACCAGCCGCGGCACGCCCGCCCCGTCCTTTGGCACCAGCAGCCGCAGCTGCCCCACCCCTCGCTCCGCCCACCTCGCCTCTACCTCCTTGCCGCCCTCCTTGCCGCCCTCCTTGCCGCCCTCCTTCTCCCCGTCTGCACCGGCGGCCGCCTTCGCGCCGCCCTCGCCCCCACCGCCCTCGCCCCCACCGCCCTCGCCCGCGCCGCCCTCGCCCGCGCCATCCGCCCCATGCTCAGCGCCGTCGCCCTCGCCCGCACCGCCGCCCGCGTCCTCCCCTCCTCCGACGCCGTTGCCACCGCCGCCGCCGTCACCGCCGCCCTCGCGTGCCGCCGCCTCGCCGTTCGGCGCTGGCTTCGCACCCTCGGCGGAGGGCGCCTCGGCGCCGTCACCACCTCGGCGCACCTCGCGACCCGACAGCAGGAACAGCTTCGCCCGCACGCGGTGTGCGCAAACCTCCTCCTCCTCGCCCTTGCCGGGCGCAGCGGAGATGGAGGGCTCCGCCGCCGCCCCCTCCTCGTCCGCGGCATCCGCAGGCGCCGCCTCGCCGTCGCCCCCGCCGCCCCCGCCGCCCGCGCCGCCCCCGCCCGGCACGAACTCGGCGGCGTCGGGGTTTAGCGTGCTGCTGCTGGAGCCAAAGCCGGCCGCGGCGCCGGCGTTCGCCGCGACGGCGCCAAAGCCGCCGCCGCCCGCCGCGACATCCGCAAAGCCGCCGCCGCCGCTCGATCCCCACGAGCAAGCGCTACCACCTCCAGATGCCGCTGTCGCTGAGAGCGAAGCAAAGCTCGCGCCGGCGCAGCCCCACGATCCCGAAGCGGGCGTGTCGGCTGCCGCTCGCTTCGCCTCCGGGTCGCCGGGAGCGTCCTCCTCGGCGGGGCGCTTGAGCTCGTTCGTCATGGAGAGCGAGGTAGCTGCCCGCGCCGCGGGTGTACGTGCCAGTCCGCGCCAGTCTGCGCCCTTGTCGTGCCAGTGTGTGTGTACTTGTTACGTGAAAACCCGCTGGGACCCGGACGCCAGCACACACGGCTAGATTTCATGGCGGGCCGCCTAGGCCCTGGGGTCGGAGGTAGAGTCGGTGGGGGTGCCGCGCGCGGCGCGGGCTTCGCTGTCGGGGGCGTTTAGGGCGGGGTCGGGGAAGGAGGGTGGGGTCGGTCGCATTGGCGGCCGCGCGGCAGTGGCTGCGGGGGGGGCGGGAGGAGGTGGTGGCGCCGACCGCAATGGCGGCCGACCCGACGTCGAGCGCCGGGCGAGATCGCGAGGGTCGAGGGTGAGCTCGAAGCCGAGGGCGGCGGCCGAGTTCTGAATGGTGAGGGCGTCGGCGGTGACGATGGCGGCGGAGATGGCGGCGGAGTGGAAGGTGTAGTGTGAGCGGGTGGACGCGCGAGAGGTGCCATACGGCGTGTGGTCAATGGACCCACTGGCGCGTGCGGTCCTCGCAAGCTGGCGGAGGACGCGATCGAGGTCGGCGGAGAATGCTCCGGTCGACTCGGTCACGAGGAGGATGACCGTGTGGCCCTTGGCGAGGGCGTCGGCATAATCGCCGTCCTTCGCTGCCACCCATCCGTCGCCGCTGACGCGGTCCAACTGCTCCTCCGTGTCCGGGTCACCCCGTTGGGGGTGGCCGAGAACGACGACGGAGAGGTGCTCCTCAGTGTTGCCAAGCGCGATGAAGTGCCCGTCGGCACGGGAGGCGGCGCCTCCGCAGTGTGCTGTGAGAGAGGCTTGTATCTTAAGAATTCTTCTGCGTTTAATGCATGCGGGGGGTCGGCTTGCCGCCCACCCAGCGATCCCAGAGGAGGAGGAGCGAGACGGCGCGCGACGGCCGCATATACACACAGACTGGGTTCGGCTCCTAGGTAGGCATGGTGGTGGGCCGAGACATCGTGGGACGTGGGTGCCACAGGGGATCACGCACCACCCTTGCGAGCGAAATCCTCGTGTGCCTTCAGCACTCGACCGCCCTCGCCGCAGGCAAGCTCATTCACAATCTGCTCTGCGATTGCCGTGTGAAGAATGACAACAAAAAGAACGACTGAGATGCGCTGCTTCTGCAGCCCAAGCCAATTCTTGGTGGCCCAAGGAAAAGAATAATTTAAATGACTAGCTCCGAGGAGAAGGGGCGCTCCGCAGCTAGGGGGACCAAAAATCACCCGAATGCTACGTTCGGATCGCTTCTCATCGCAAACCCTGTCAGCAGTTCACCCTCGGATATGTTCGTAAGAGCTACATAGACTGAAAAATTCCGCCGCTGTGGGTTTATGTGTTAGGTATGAGGGTTTATTTCCTTAAGAATTCTTTCGTTCCACAGCGTCGAGGTGCCAACTAATCGCCCCCCACAGAACCGTTTGCTCTATTGTCTTGCCCCTGCATGCGGGATGGCCGAATCGATCGACAGATATGGATAGGTAGACGCGCCGTTGCCGCGAGCGTTTCCGTTGGAGTCGGGGTTGTGGCGGAGAGCCGGCATGGGAATCGCCGGCCCCCACCCAGGGGGTGCCCCTGCCAGGCGCCGCAAGCGGTGCCCGGCAGGTGCCCGGCAGGAGCGGGTGCCCCGTGTGTGAGTACACACACACACACACACGGGTGCCCCCACCCCGAGGGGTGGGGGCGGGGTGTTCCGCGCAGATTTCTCGCTTAGCCGCTTGCGGGCGCTGGCGCGTTCAGGTCGAAGCGCGGCAGGCGAGTGGGTGAGGGCCCCTCCACAGCTTTCCTTCCAAACATGGGCGACTGGGCTGACGATGACGATGACTGGGAGCCTGCACCGCCACCGCGCAAGGCGCCGGCCCCCGCCACTCGTGCCGGACCGAGAGCGCCGCCGCCGCCGCCGCCGCCAAAGGCGGCAAAGGTTCCCAATGACCCGAGTGGCGTAGAGGCGTTGCCTGGCGAGAGCGAGAGCGCGTATGTCGCACGCCAGGCGCGGCTTCGCGAAGAGGCCGCGGCACGGATGCGCGCCAAGTTTGGCGGCTCGGGCGGCCTCGGCGGAGGGCGGCTCGGCGGAGTCGGCAGCAGCGGCATGGGCGGCGCAGCGAGCGCTGAGAGTGCGCGTGGCGGGCTGTGGGGAGGCCTCGGTAGCATCGCCGGGTCGGTCGTCGGCGCCGCCTCCGGCCTTGCGAAGGAGTCTGTCTCCGGCTTTGCTGCACTCGCCTCTGACGTCGGCGCAGTCGCCGGCATCGCCTCGCCAGAATCACAAGGCGCGGCGGCGGCGGCGGGTCGAGGCGCCGCAGCGTCGGCGCCGCGCACCCTGCTGCCAGCCGCGCCACGAGCCGCGCCGCCGGCGCAGGCCGCGCCGGCACCGGCGCCGAGGGCAGCGCCGAGGGCAGCGCCGGCGGCAAGCGGCTGGGAGGACGACGACGACTGGGGCGACGGCGGTGGGGGCTGGGAGACGGCGCCTGCGAAACCTACCGCTCCGGCCTCCGCCCCTCGGCCGAAGCCTCCGCAGCCGCCGCCGCAGCCGGTCCCGCCCGCAGCAGCCGCACCGGGCGGGTGGGACGACGGCGGCGGCGTCGGCGAGGAAGGCGCGAGCTTGCGAAACCGTCTCGGAGCCTTGCCGGGACCTTCCCATAGGCGACGACGGCTGGGAGGACGCCCCGGCGGGGAGTGCGGCGCCAAAGCTTCCCCAACTCCCAAAGCCTCCGCCGTCCAAGCCTCCGCCGTCCAAGCCTCCGCCGTCCAAGCCTCCGCCGTCCAAGCCTCCGCCGTCCAAGCCTCCGCCGTCCAAGCCTCCGCCGTCCAAGCCGCAGCCAGCCAAGCTGCAGCCAGCCAAGCCGCAGCCCAAGACCAAGCCTCCTCCTCCGCCGCCGCCGAAGCCCAAGCCACCGCCCCCAGGCCCGCCGCCGCCACCGCAGCCATCTGCTGGCGACGCCGCGCCCGCCGCGTCCGCCCGCCGCTCCGCCCGCCGGTACGACAGTCATCACCCCTGCCGCCGCCCCCTCCACCCCCTGTCCACGGAGCAGACGAGCGGCGGCACGGCCCTCCACCAGCTGCAGGAGTTGCGCACTTCCCAAAGGAAGCACAGGATGCTCCCGCAGTTTACGCAGCTTTGTGCAGCGCAGCGCACGGGCCACGCCACACAAAGCCGACCCTCAGCCTGGCCAAGAGGCTGTCTGCGGAAGGCCTGGCAGCGCGTACGCGCCTCCTCCGCGGCCATGCCCTCCGCCCGGGCGAGCGAGGAGCGAGGACACAACCATTTCTGGAATCTTGTGTCCCCGCCCCCCCC